AGTGCGTGTGAAGCGCGACATGGCGGCGAGGCCCAGAAGACCGAGTGGCCCAGAGACTACGGGGAAGAGGGCGGGGCCAGGCGCGGCTCTGACAACCATTGGAGGGCTTCGGGTTGGGCGGGCCGGAGACTACATTTCCCAGGGATCAACGCAGGCCGGAAAGGGAGCGCCTCAGGTGTAGGGCGCACGCGCACCAGCAGCCTGTGCCTATATAAGGGCGGTTCTGGGTCGTTCACGTCCTTTTTCTCCTGCGGCTCTCTCAGTGGTTGTGACTTGGTTGGCTCTTTAGCAGTTGTGGTTCCAGCCTCGTGAACCACGTTTTGTGTGCGGTAAGTGGAGACTTATGCTGTTTACCGCTCGCGAGTTCTCGTCCGCCTTTGAATTATTTGTACCCTCATATTTATGAAGTTTTCCGTACTGGCTAGCGCCGCCATAGCTGACGCCAAAATAGGCTTTCAGACGAGTTAGGTGGAAAAATTCACGCCTTCTGTATGGGCCTGTAGAGCTCTTGGCTGGTGTAAGTGATGACTCCACTTTTTTCCCCATCAGATCGACAATGGCGATTTTCCAGAATATTTGCCAGTTACTCCTGATACACCAGCTTCGAAAAACAGTTAACGTTCTTTTGGCCATGGGAAGATGACAACTGATAATCTTTCTTATTTGTAGGTTATCGCAGTCGGGGAGTACAGAATGGATGTGGGAGAACGGAGTCATTTCTGGACCTGCCAGAGATCCCCATACAAACATCTCCAACCTTGGCTCTCCTGACCTACAGGTATTTCTTTCGGTCTGCTTTAGAAAACCTGCCTTGAAGAAAGATTCTTAATTGGCTGTATAAACTTGGTTAATGTCAGTGAATGCTTTCCGGAGAAGGGTGGCTCTCATAGCCTCCTGTTCCAGCCTTGTCTGAGTCTTATGATAGGAACAAAAGATTTTGCCTACTGGAGCAGCTGTGTCGAAACATAAGGATGGGAGGAGATACATGCTATCACCACTGCACAGAGTAAGCCAAGTTAGTTGTGTATTGGTCTTTCGGGTGTGTCCATGTAAAGAATTAAGTAGAATCTGGCTGAGGTTTAGGCCCATAAAGGAGACAATAGGATCACACGCCAGGCCTTGTAACTCATTTTAGTCCTCTATTGGATGGATAGCTTTGGCCTCAAATGAGTATTTCAGCAAAAGTGACCTTCACCTTGCTGCAGAATAACAGCCAACGTACTACGGCCCACACACGACGCAAGTCTAGTGGGAAACTAATGTTTCCTGGCGTGTGTGACATCTGAAATTGGTGATTTTTGTAAAAAGTTTTGCAAAAATAAAAGCAAATGAAGCTAGAGGTTTTTGTTCGGAAAGTCATTAGGTTGTCCGATCTGGTTTGAACTTATACTAGCGCCTCCCAGAGTGCTAAGATTACAGGTGTATGCTATAATGCCTGGCTCCGGGTTATTGCAGGTTTTAGTGAAAATGAACTGCTGAAACTATGCGTAGAATTGAACTCAATAAATGCCAACTACCTCCCAACAACTTGTATCACTGGCCACTAGAAAAATTTAGGTGCAGACTCTGAATGGCAGGGGTATTTGACATTAGGCAGCTCCCTTTTAATGGGGTGCTCAAGTTTTCCTGCTGGCATACATGATGACTTGAACTTTTTTCCCCAACAGATCGGCCATGTTGATCTAATCTGTTTAAGCCAGTTTCTGTCTGATATGCCAGCTTGTTTATTGTGCCCCACTTCTGTGGCCATCTAGCTGGTCAGGGCTCATCTTCCTGTGTTTTCACCTCAGGTTTGCTGATGGCATGAGCCAGCCTTTGAATGGACTAGGATGAATTCTGAGCATGGGAAAGGATTGGTAAGTCGTGCCCGGAAGTCTCCCTTGGGCAATAGGACCTGTAGGAAAATAGTAGCTGCTTTTTTCATCCTTGACACTCTTTGATGCAAATTGAGCTGGTGCAACTGATGACATAACTTTTTTCCCCATCAGATCGACCCTGTTGATCTAACTAAACCTTTAGCCAGTTTGGTCTGATGCATCAGCCCCAGAGATGATTGTTTTCTGTTTACTCTTGACAAGTCTTTGTGCTTTTTTAAGTGGGTCTCAGGCTTGCTCTGGTGGTTTTATGCAGCATTCAGATTTAGTTTGACCCCCACGTGTTAACTTCCTGCAGGTCACATCAGGAGCCCTTGGAACTGAAAGTTTGTTGTCAAGTCATGTCTTTGGCTTGATCTGTCCTGTAAGAGGTAAGATTTCAGTTCTTAAACCCATAGAAGTGATTTGTCTATTAAGAACCCAGGTCTGGAGCCAGGGATGTAGCTTGGTTGAGCGCAACATCCTGATTTCGGTCCCTGGTACCAAAAAAGTCCAGCCAGGTCAAAATTAGGTTTAAAACAGGAGAATTAGTGTGTGTTGGGGGGGCTGTTCTCCCACACAACTATGTACAACTGAATATCTTTAGTGTGTATTAAAGATGAATGTGTCCTCAATCTGGGTTTTTTTGTTGTTGTTTTAAGCCATGTTCTTACCCGAAAAGGTGTATTTCTAGATTGAGGTTGAGGCATTTTCACAGCATGGAGTAGTAATTTTGACCAGTCTCTTCTGCACCTTAGGAATTTTAAGATTACATGCAGAAGAGACTGGTTATCTTAGTGGGAGTTTCTTTCCCCAGTTTTTTGATGGTGCATCGGCCTAATGCATTGATAGCAAACCTTTTGGAGACAAATCCCCAAACTGTAACCCAAAATCCACTTAATTCGGGCAAAATGCCAACACTACAATTAAACCTGAACACTGAGGCTTTAGTTTTTGTAAAAAAAAATTCATACTACTGTGCCATAGTTTCAGCATAGTGGATGGACAAAAGAATGTAGACTAGATTACATCTTCACTAGATGTTTCTGTTCCCCTGGCCCCAGCAGGTAGCCCTTTATTTAGACCACTGATGCAGCCTTCTTTTCTGTTTTCTGTTTAGACGTTTCTCAGCTATGGAGCGGGCATGGAAGGAAGGCCTTTTGAAAAATCAGCCTGATGAACCAGTCCCACAAGACACGTGTACTAAACCTGGCTCTCCAGGGTGCTCTTTTCTGTGAAGATTAAAAGATTTAATTTCTAGCTTTGTAACAGTCTTCCTGTCTGGGAAAAGAAAATAAAATCCTTGAAATCAAAATGTTCTTGTATGTGGCTTTTGCTGGTGAACATTGAACAGGGATAACAGGTAGCAGCCAGGTATTTGATTAGGGTTATTTACTGAGCCCAGACTGGGGTGAGGGGCAGTTCTGGGCAGTGCTAGTGATTGGGTTCTGTATGGGCTTCATAAGAATGGGCAGCAGTAGGTCAATAAGTTATTAATGGTTTGGGGTTTGCCTGCCCTTGGCTCATAATTGAGTAGATTTAGAATTTCACCTTTGTGGGAAAGTGGCATTGATAAGTAAAATGGCTCTAGGTATCCGGCCCTTCATTCCTTCCCTTTGAGGCTTGGGGATTAGGTTTGATTTCTGATTTGCTCTTACAGTGTCTGGTTAATTGAAGGGGCAAATCTAGCTGCATAGCAAGAGGCTTGAGGGTATCCTGTGGCACTTTTCAAACTCCAGTGGATGCCAACATCAGAGGATGCAGAAATCCCTTTAAAGTTTATCTGCATAGAACCTATGCCTATCTAGTGTACTTCTGCGATATGTGAAAGTTTGCTGTTTAGGGAATCATGACTAAGGGAAGTCTGGGATGAAATGTCTGGTCTGTAGCTAAGTGATAAAAGCTGTCATGCCCAAAGCCCTGGTTTCAATTGCCAGTGCTGCAAACATCTACCAAAAGACCTGAAAATAAAGGTCTTGACGTGTTCAGAGGCAGTTTAGGATATCCTTGCTAGGCATGGTACTGCATACTTGTGCTCCCAGCACTGGGAGGCTGAGGTAGGAAGTTACACAGCCAGATGCCATCTCTAAGCATGAATAGCCAATAGGGCTGGCTGGCTGTAGTGACCTGTTCTCCGGGTTCATAATCAGGTTGTCAGCAGCACCTGTCTGCAGGCAGGTCAAGTGCTCACTCAGTTCAGCCGTCAGTCTACACCAAGGAGCCCACTTGCCTTTTTTTTGTGGTGCTGGAGATAAAATCTGGGACCCAAGGTATGCTAGGCAAGTGCTCTTATCACTGAGCTGCCTCCCTACATCCCCTTTTAATGTAACTGCCTCTAGTAATACAATGGCTAACATTTATTGTCCCTGCTCTGTGTTATTTGATACAGTAGCCTTTTTCTATTCCATTAACCCTCTGAAGCAGATTGTACTGTTGGGCTCACATTTGAGTCGACGCAACAGTGGCTCATTAAAAACTAGCTTGTCAGGTTACCGAGGCAGAATATGGCAGAGCCAGCACTCTGACCCTTAGCTTAACTAGTAACACTGCTTAAATGAAGTCTAACGGGTACAGGAAGGAGAAAATTTCTAGCTTTTGAAGATTTATATCCTTGTGTTTGTGTGCATGTAGCCTGGAGATTGAACCCAGGATCTTCACACTGGACTAAGCAAAGTCCCTTTTATTATTTTTGGGGACCAGGGATTACTAAGCTTGAGTCCTTGTGCTTGCAAGGCAGGCAGCGGAACCACTGAGCTAAATCCCCAGCCCTATATTTTAATGTTAAAGCTTGGGTGGTCTCGATAAATCGTTAAGTTGCCCCGGCTGGGCTCAAAACTTGGGCACCTCATCCCTCAGCTTCCCAGAGTGCTGGGTTTAATAGATGAGTAGCATCGAATCCGGCTGGTTCATATGCTTTGCTGGACTTCACTTTGACGAGAGTTGGCCGACAGCAGAGGTGTTTGCCAGCCAGGAGTACAGAACCCCCTGGAGAGCTCCCAGTCTCTTGACTTTGTCATGTCAGGTTGGCCTCCTTGAGCGCTAGGACAAGGTGTAAGGCCCTAGGTCTCATACCCTTCGCACCTTGTCTCCCCAGCTTCAGCTCATATCAGTTCCACCAAACATTTGATACTCTGGTCTCACTTCCTCTTAGCTGAGGGATCTTGGGCAAATTCCTGCACCTTCATAAGCCTGGGATTCCTTGGCTGTCAGATGGGTTCATAATGACACATCAGGTTTGAGATTCAATAAAATCAGGTCTGTGATAAAATGTCATAGCCTGGGGCCTAGTATGTAGTGGGTACACAACAACTCCTCTAGAGAATAAATACTTCCTGCCGGTCAGATGGGAGGTTTGTGTTGAGGAAATAGAAGGATGAATGTGTTCATTGAGTGCCATGTGCCAATATTGTGTTAGCTATTATTATCTCAATGAACGTGCACCTGTGTTACCAATTTTCTGTTGCTGTGTCAAAATATCCAAGAAAGACAAAGGAGGAAGGGTTTATGTTGGCTTATGGTTTCAGAGAGAGAACCCAAGCCAGACCGGAAGGGACCAGGAACAAGATGTACTTTATTCATTTTTTGAAATTAGGTGTAATGGTGCTTGCCTATAATCCCAGAACTCAGGAAGGAAGCTGAGCCAGGGTTGCCACAAATTCAAGGCCAACCTGAACCACTTAGCAAGTTCAACACCAGAACTATATATCGAGACCCTATCTCAAAACAAAACATTTTGTCACATTGGGGATTGAACCCAGAGCCTTCATGGTGAGTGACATCTCCACCCCTTTTTAAATTTTTAAATTCTGAGCTAAATTGCCCAAGATGGGTTTGAACTTGCAATCTGCGTCAGTCTCCCAGAGTACTGAGATTACAAGCATGTGCCACTATACTAAGCAAAGCTATGTGCCCAGGGACCTACTTCCTCCGACTGGGCTCCCCTCTCCAAGTTTCCAGCATCTGATAATTGCGTCCTGCTAGGAACCCACCCATGGAATAATCCACCAAGGAAGTTAGAGCTGTCCTGGTCCCATTACCTTCCAAAAGCTCTGCCTCTAACATAGTTGCAATGAAGGCCAAGCCTCTAATATTGTACATCAGCCTTACGGGGGACGTTTTAGGTCCAAACCATAACTCTGTCCATTAGTTAAGTTTATACATTGGAACACTGCTGCTCAGGGAAGTCCAGTGACTTACTTGAGGTCACACACCTTGGAAATTAATATTGAGTTTGAATCTTGGCTCTGCCACTTATCAGCCATGTGATTTGGGGTAAATAATTCATGGCTCTCTGGGTCTCATTTCTTTATCTGAAAAGCAGGGCTCAGTGGCTCACTTCATAAGTGAGGCTCGCAACATTTTAAAGGTTCACCCGTGGCATGTGTTAGAAGGTCACGTGACTTGCTTATCTACCACATCGCTTTGCTTATCCATCTGTCAGTGGACATTTGGTTGGTTCTCCCTCTTGGCTGTTATGAGTCATGCTGCAAGGAACACTGTCAGACAAGAATCTGAGTCCGTTTTCAATTCTTTTGGGTGCTATAATGCACCATCTTCTGGGGATAGACAGTTTAAGGACTAAATGAACACTTAGAACTCTGCCTGGGAAAGACCTGTAGGAACCAGCCTACGAGCTTGGACCTGACCAAGGGGTGATGAGGATGAAAAGTAAAGAAGCACAGAATTATGTTAAAATCTGGAGGGCTGGGAGCTCGTGACTCCCTTCGACATAGAGGCCCGAGTGGCACATCTCGGCTTTATCCACTCAGACACGGAAAGAGCCACTAGGATTACACAGAATTCATCTGTCTCCTTCCCTCCATGGTACCGTCCGGGAATGCTTGCATGCCCTCTTTCTTCTGAGTGTTCACCAAGGAAGCCAGTTTGGCCTCAATCTTCCACATCAAAAGTTTAGTATTTCCAGTTTCTTTCCATCTTCTTTTTTCTCCTACACTTTGCCTGCTTCTCTCCTAACTGCGGCCACATAGTTGCCAAGTAAGATGGAGCAGGGTCTTCCCCAGAACCTGCAGCTCCCGCCTCTGTCTGCAGGGAGCACTGCAGATACACACTTCTGCAGCGTGTGACTACAAGCTTCCATCCTGTCGCGTAAAGAGGGAAGCCCTTCTGGCAAGGGCCTGGCAGTGGTGAGTTTTCAGACCCCGCAGCCTGCATTATGAGGATGGACTGGGACAGCAAAGCCTTAGGCGGATCAGTGCGGTGATGGTGGTGTCCCAAGGCCTGAGGCATGGGCTGCTGACAATACAAACTCCAATCTCACGCTGCAACTAAATTCTCAAATGAATTTACCCCCAATCCCCCTGTCCTTACAAATCAGTAATCAGTGTTCACTTTTCTGAGTTCTATTTCTGTCCTTTCAGGCCTTGTTACAAGACAGCTACCGCCAGCATGGCTGAAGCTTCTCACGTTTAAAGGAAGCCAGAAATCCTCAAAATGTTGCCAATTGACTCCACTTTATAAAGACTGAAACCTCAGGGCTGGGAAGCCACCAATTTGAGACCGCTGACTTGAGATGTGTCCCTTTCACCTCTGCCCTTGTCATTTTTTAAAAAAAAAATTTTTTTTAAAGTTGTTTGTTTTGTTTTTTGGTACTGGGGGGCAAACTGGGGCCCTTGCATTTAGGAGACAGGCGGCGGCACCACTGAGCCAAACTCCCGGCCCTGCCTGGCATTATTCTAATGAAATGCCAGATGAAACAGGATGCACGATGAAATAGGAATGTCAGATAAACCATGAAGAAGTTTTTAGTGTAAGTACGCCCCATTCAATATTGGTGAGGACATAGTAAAAAATTATTTGTTATTTATGTGATTCTAATCTAACTAGCCCCTGTGTATTTTTTACTTGCTGTATCTGGCAACTCCAGGCCAGGAGTATTGGCTTGGAATGATGACATCTATTCTTTAAGAGGCAGCCTCCATGGACTGTGCACCTTCTGAGTAACTCTCATGTTCTTTGTTGGTTTTTCCTCGAAGGTTGGCGAGGGTTTGGGGTATGCAGAGCGTCACACGGTAGCTACTGTCCGAACTGCATAGGCAGCACCGGCAGGTTCTGTGTCCAACCTGGCCAGGTGCATGGTCCCCTTCCCCACCGTCCTGATGGTAACTGATCGCAAGTCTATTCAGAAGGTGTCTTACTCCATTTCACATTGCTATAACACAGTCCCTGGGACTGAACAACTTACAAGGAAAGAAGTTTATTTTGGCTCATAGTTTTGGAGGCCAAGAAGCCCGAGAGTGTGTCCCTGGTAAGGGTCTTGTGCTGCTTTAATTAAAAGCAAAAATAGAAG